CACTTCATCAGGCTGTCGTGGGCAGGTGAGGAGGGTGAGTGCCCGGGCGGGCGGGAGTCGCGCCCAGAGCAGAAGAGCGCCGCCGAGTACGCTTGTCTCTCCACCCCTCCTCGGATCAAAGAGCACCAGCAAACTCCATTAATTTTCCATAAATTTCCCCTAAAATCTTATTTGGGAGAATGGAGAAGGGGAGGGAGAGGAACAGCATGAGGGCAAGCCCCCCACTCCCCGCCCCGGACGCTTCTGCCGCAGGGACCCCACGCGTGAGCGCCAGGGCTGCTGCCGGGGCTGGGGGAGCAGCCTCACACCTCTGAGTGGACCCCAGGAGTGGGGCTGGCGCCCACAATGTGCACAGAGACGTGGTTACCAGAAAGGGAGCAGCTGACGCCCCCACTTCAACACGCAGCAGACCCTGCCCTGCAGAAAGGAGGCCCAGGCCCCTCCTGGAAGCCAGGACGCCCCAGCTGGGTGGTGGGCAGTCGCCATGAGCTGGTGGCCTGCACGGTGGACCTTGTGGGCCCACAGTCCTGCTCCCAGCCATAGAGCCTCAAGTGAGCAGACCAGACCACAGCCATCTCTGGGTCCAGGAGGACACCGTGGATTCCGCTGCTGGGCCTAGCAGGCACCCCAGCGGAGGGCTCCTCCTAAGGAGAGCGGACTTGGAAACCATCCGGGCCACCTGGGGCCCCAGGCCCAGCTGCCCTGTCTGGGAGCAGCCCTGGCCCCACTGCTCCTCAATGCAGACTCCCAGGAAGCCTACTCAAGTGGGCCGCATGGAACACCACACATGCCTCCTGCCTCCCAGCCCAGGGCAGCTCTGGAAGTGCATACAGAACCGGCTAAGGATTCGAGGAGCTGGAGTTGGTCTTCCAAGACCACCAAGGACCACGCACAGGACCTGCCCGGCCCTGCCAGCCCAGGTGGGCCAGCTCGGAGCCGGTGCACAGCCCAGCAGGGACCAGAGCCCTGGACTTTGACTTCAGACCCCGACTCAGGCACCTGCACCCACACGGTCCCACCAGTGCCCTGACAGCTAGGTGCCAGGCCAAGCTGGGAGGACACGGGAACTCAGGCCTGCCCCCACACACAGCACCTGAAGTCCACCAGCCCCACACACAGAGCTGTCCACCAGCCGTAGTGCTGTGCTCGTAAATAGAGAGGCAATTAATTCTAGTGATAGACAAAGAAAAGCTCTTAAAAATTTAGCCCTCTATTCACCCTTCCTTAGAAAGCCACCAAATGGCAAAAAACAAAAAAGAGGAGAAATTCTTCAGTTTAATGAGAGCCCCTCTTCTTCCTCTGGGCTTTTTCATGGAGCAAATGACCAGCAAAATGCAGTGACAGACACCTCCCACCGAGACGCTTCGCTCCTGCAGTGAAACTAGACCAGGGAGAAACCGCAGGGAAACAAATCTGCAACTTCTTCCGCAGCGGGACGAGGGTGCTACCCACACTCTCCCTCCTCCCCGAGGGAGCTGCTCGGGTTTTATTTACGGTGTGACGGGAGCAGAACCTGTCTTAAAACCTGCTCATGGTAAGAAATGGGAACATCCTGGTCCTTTCGGGCTCATATAAAAATGTGGAGGGGTGTTAAGGGTAACCGTCTGCCGGGACGCCAAAGGCACCTAACGTCTAAGTGTGGACGGCACCGACGCTCTCCTCTCAGGGAAAGGGCATCTCGGGGTCCCTGCTGCGAAAGTAGCCCACTGGCACAGCACAGATCCCGAGTCCCTCCCCACTGGGCGCCACACCCAGCTCCTCTCCCAGCCCCTGGGGGACACAGAAGGCTGGGGCCTCTCGGTCAGCCCAGGCAGGGGGCTCTGGGCCTGGACAGCTGCAACTGCCCCCCCCCACTCCCTCCCGCCTCCCGCCTGCACCTGGGTGGTCCAGCCTGGTCTTCCCATCTCCAAACGCCGGCCCTGGCTCAGCCCCCTGCAGCCAGACCCCAGCAATGTCCCCCAACCCCGGCCTTAAATCCCTCTCAGTGCACGGTTCCGATTCTGCCCTCCCCAAACCCCCTGCCTGTCCCGTTCACTGGGAGGGCCACGGAGCCCCCACCCTCCAGCCACAAGCCAAGCCTCAGCTCCTCCCACAGGAGCGCTGATCCACCCCCGAAACTCCCATCCACAGATCCGAACACACCACAGCACCCGGGACGTGCTAGGCCCTCGTCCTGGCTCCAGGCAGAGCGCAGAAACGTCACGTCCGCTGCTCTCAGATAGTATGACTTTGGGAGCAAGACAACAAACAAAAACAGACGCCAGGTGCATCGCAGGCAGTCACTGTGGGGCTCCAGGCACTTCTGGGGCCCTGGGACACGCATGCTCGCTCCCACCGTCCTGCCCAGCTCACACTGGACGGCGCCAACACGCTGAGCCTGTGCACTCCGCCCACGCAGTGACCCACACTCCAAGCACTCCCGTGACAGTGCTGGGAAAGCCAGAGCAGGCGGGACTGGCAGTGCCTCTGCAGGAACAGACCCCGGAGCCTGTGAGCACACGGACAGACAACCCACCAGGGACTGAGGGCCTGGGGAGGGGACGCTGTGCAGAGCAGCCCGCAGGAGACCGCTTGTCACTCCTGCTCTGCACACACCAGCCTTCTGAGCAAAGCTTAGCATCGCGTCCACCTCCTGCGGGAACGCTCCGCCGTGCAACGGGCGATGGCGCCACCTCCTGGTGACAATGGGCACGTGCGAGTCACTGAAAGTCCTCCAGGCCACGTCCCCACCACCAGGAGCCGCGAACCCCCACCGCACGCTCCTGCGCCAGGCGCGGCTTCGGGTCCAGCTGCTTTCTGGGAACAGGCCACTATTTCTGATCCCTATTAATACCCGTGACAGCATTTATGTACAAGATAAATTCATTTCAATTTCCTTTTTCAATTAATGGCCTATTATTTGAACCAGACTCAGCTAAAAATATCACAGTGACACCATCAATCTTGTAAAAATTGAATTTCCCTCCCTGACAGCCAGAGGGCACCAGGCTGAGGCAGGAGGGGCTGCCTGGCTGCCCAGGACCCCGGAGGTCCCCAGCAGAGACCACGGGGCTGAGCGGCCAGCGGAGGGCTGAGGGCACAGGCAGCTGGCCCAGTCTCAGCACGTGACAGGGACGGCAGCGCACACCCTCCACGCTGGCTCTGGAGCAAGCCCCGGGCAGGTCTGCAGCCTCCTGACCCCTCCCCTGCCACGCACGGCTGCCCCAGGTCACCCAGTGGTGGGACCACCACTGCGGGAGAGGCCAGGAGCTCCTGCCACACCCCGTCCCCTGAGAGGTCTAACACACCTCCCGTCTCTGCGTGTGTGCAGCTGGAGAAACAGCCTCCGGCCTCGGCCTGGTGCGGCCGCCTCTGGGAGCTGGTCTGCGCCCTGTGCCCCGGTCCCGGAGACTTTTCACCGCCTGTGAACAGAGCCACGCGCAACCGTCACTGAGGACTTCAAGGCACCAGTGGGCAGCGAGCTCCCGAGGTGGGCGGAGCCTCCAGCCTCCGCACCTGCTCCGGCAGGTGTGACGCGGCTCGCCCTGCGCCAGGCGTCTGCCGCAGAGTCTGCAGCGACTCCACAGGTGATTCCGGCAACTCTCAAATTCTGAAGATTTTTGGCTTTCATGTACTAAATAATTTAAAATATTTTCTAATCTCCTTTCTGCCATACTCTTTGACTCATGGGTTATTTACAAGTTGGTTTATTTCTGAATATTTGGGAATGTTCCATGTATGTTTTCTGTTTACTTCTGACTTCATGCTGTAGATGACAGAACACACTTTGTACGATTTCAGTCTCTCACGGACGCTGAGGTCTGCTTTACGGCCCAGACTCCAACGCGTCACGGCGATGCCCAGGCTCATCTGGGCAGCGGTGGCTGTGCCCGGCAGCCGCGCAGCCCCCAGAACACACACCGATGAGGCCTCATAAAGGCAGACTGGACGCTGGCTGCCCTGGGCCCATCGGGAAAACGGGGCTCAGGAGTCAGCCTCGGAAGATGGCCACGGCCCTGACCGCCAGAAACAGACTTTGCAGAAGCTCCTCCACTTGGGGGCTGGGAGGTGGCTCTGCAGAGACAGGCAAAGCTGATGGCCGCCCTTCCCCCTGGGCCGTTCCGCGGCTGGTCTGTGTCCCTGCAGCAGACCGTGAGACGAGGCCAGCTCTCCCTCAGCCTGACATGCCCTTGTCTGGCCACACACGCTGCTGCGCCGGCTGGTGGGCCCACGAGCCCAGTGAGCTCAGGCTGGTGTGCAGAGAGCCTCCCGTGGGGCAGATCTGCTTCTCCGCGTGGCCCTATCAGCCTTCGAGTCACACGTGTGTGACCATGACGTCCCTTTGAGGAGCTGACCTCTTGGTTGCTGTGAAACGGCCCCACGCCCCTGGCAATGCTCGGTGCTCTGCAGTTGGCTCTGGTCCCGACGCAGACCCTCCCACTGCCTCACTGGTGTCTGCGCGTGCCCCGTCCTCACCTTTGCTCCAAAACAGCCAGGTCTGTGTTTCCTGAGAGGCTGGGGGGCGCTGAGGGAAGTCCCCACGAGGACAGGGCCTCCTCTCCCGTCCAGCGAGCCACAGCCTCACGGAGCAGCCACAGGTGTGCCGGCTCTGTGGAGGGCTCCGCACCCCGTGCCACCCGGGGACAGCCCCTCCCCGAGGCAGAACGGCCGGGCCTGTGTGGGCCACCAGGCAGGCCCAGCAGTGCACAGGCGGCGGCAGGCGGCTCTCAGGGCAGACCGGGTCGGGTCTGACCTCTCATCTCTCTTCACGCCTCGAGCCTCCCTCCCCAGCCGCCCACTTCCCGACTCCTGCCCAGACCTGGGCTGGGCCAGCCGAGGAGGTGCAGCGCCCGAGGGGCAGCCGAGACAGCGGCCCTGCCAGGCCAGCAAGGCCCAGCCCAGGCGCAGCTGCAGGAACGTGGCAACGTCTCACTGCAGGTGCAACCGCACTGCGCCTGACAGAGCCCTCACACCGCTGTCTCACTGAAGCCGGAGAAGGGCCGGCTTCACGAAAGACTCACCGTGAAATGCTCCTGGGACTTGTAGTTTTCGTCCAGGTAGACTCGGGCCCTGTTGTACTCCTTCATCGCATCACTCGACAGCAGTTCTCTGAAAGGAAGAGAGTAAACTCCTTGAGCAAAAGCACATGGGCGCTGCCACTTCACAGGTGTGCCTAAGAGACGCCACTTTTTACGCCACCCCAAAACGACACCCACCAACTGTGGAACTGAGGGGGAGCGGCAGCCACAGCAGAAACTGAGCGCCACTGCGTGTTCTCGGCGCACGGGGCGAGGGCCGCCCTTCAGGCTCTGGTCTCCAGGCATCCCCGGGCGACCCTGAAGCCGCCCGGGAGTGGAGACCTGAGAAGGGGCCAGGTCACACCCTGGGCTGTCCTGGCCCCACAAGTTTCGTCCTAACAGAAACATCCGCACAGCCATCCGCACGGGGCAGGGGCCACCACGGTCGACCTCGGAGCCCAGGCAGCTGCGTCCCCGCCCTGTCCTCGCAGAGGCGAGGGTCAGCCCGTGGCCGCGGTGCCCAGACTTCGGGACCTTTAAAGGTCTGTCACCACTCGGGTCCCGCCCCTCGCTGCCCACCCTGCTGGTCGCATCGCACAGCGGACGAGCTCAGGAGACGAGCTCCCGCCACCCCTGCAGGGCGGGGACAGGGAGCCGCTGCACCCAGGAGGCCCCGCTCATGTGTCTGGCCTCCGCCCAGACAGCGCCCGGGACCCCCGGCTCGCTCCGCTGCGAGACAGAGGGAAGGAGGTTCACGGCACGCGGTGCCCAGCCAGTCCACGTGTCGGGAAGGGGGTTCCAGATCTGAGGAACAGAAGGGAATCAGGACGGGCGAGAGAAGCCTCCACAGACACAAACCAGTCACCACGTAACGGAGCGGGGACAGTCACACCCCAGACGCTCAGAGGAGGAAAAGGTCGTAACGGAGCGGGGGACAGTCACACCCCAGACGCTCAGAGGAAGGAAAAGGTTCGACACGCAACAACATGGCGTCCGTGACACCTGGCATTGCGTCAGAACTGCCCGGCGCGCACAGAGTGAAGGGGTGACCCAGCTGTGCAGGGAAGCAACGAAGAGGACGAGGATCGTGGAATTGGAGGGAAAACCATCGAGCAGCTGCTGCAGACGGGATCAAGATTTCAAGGCAAACGTGAATCTGCTCCAGACAGAAGACACAAACCCACACGGGAGACTTCTACAGCGGGAAAATACAGTGTCAGAAATAAAACAAACTCACTGGATGGACTTAAGAGCAGATTAAAACTTGCAAAGAAAAAAATCAACCGTGGCCGGGCGCGGTGGCTCACGCCTGTAATCCTAGCTCTCTGGCAGGCCGAGGCGGGCGGATTGTTCAAGGTCAGGAGTTCGAAACCAGCCTGAGCAAGAGCAAGACCCCGTCTCTACTATAAATAGAAAGAAATTAATTAGCCGGGCGTGGTGGCACATGCCTGTAGTCCCAGCTACTCGGGAGGCTGAGGCAGGAGGATCGCTTGAGCCCAGGAGTTTGAGGTTGCTGTGAGCTAGGCTGACGCCACGGCACTTACTCTAGCCTGGGCAACAAAGCGAGACTCTGTCTCAAAAAAAAAAACAAAAAAAAACAAAAAACAACAGTGACTTATAAAAGCAGCAGCAGAAACTCTCCAGACTGAGGCAGAGGGTCATTATCCAGCAGTTTAACGTCAGGAAATTGGGATCTGAGAGCAAAATAGAAGGAAATGAAAAGAAATACAATATTTAAAGAAATAATAGACGAGCTGCTTTCAAAGTTTGGCTGAACATGTAACCCACAGGGGGAAGGCTGGAAGGGCCATGTGGGAGGACGTGAGGAAACGCAACCCGCAGCTGACGCCACCGAGCTGCTGAACCAGCGATGAGACCCATCGCGCAGTCGGGGAAAAAGGCACATTATATACCAGAAAATGAAGCAGAGAACAATGGCCAGATTCTCACCAGAAACAAAGCCACGCAGAGGACAATGGGACGAGAGCCTTAAAGTAGTGACGGGGAAAAAATTGACAAGCTAGGATTCTATTTCCAACAAAAATATCTTTCAACGTGCATACAAAGACCCTTTTCACACAAACAAAAGCTGGGAAAATTCATCTGCAGCTGACTTGTGCTAAAATAAACGTTAAGAAAGGTTGTTCAGGCCGAAGGAAAATGATGCCAAATAAAAACCAGAATCTACACAAAAGAGTCCAAGTGCTGGAAATGGAAAATTAATCATTAAAAGCCGACTAAGGGAACATGCAATGGTGCACGGCAGGTGTGGCGCAGGGGGAGTGAATGCAGGCAGCGAGGGGCGACAGCGTGGGGAGGGGCGGGACGCGGCTGCCCAAGGTGAGCAGCCTGAGCGTGGAGCGCGCGGGCAGGTGCGCGTCAGCCGGTCCCCTCCGCCTTCCCTGCAGAGCGCCGGCCTCTCCCACTGGCCTGGCTCTCCCCACTGCCTTGCCGAGCTCTTCACATTTTCACACGCCCATTTCTGCCAGTGAAGTACGCGGCAGGTATCTGTTCCCAGAGCAGCTTAGTTTTTGCTTTGTTTAGAGTTCCTTTCCATGCCCAAGTTCTTAACTTCAGCACGTTCAGATTTGCCAATCTTGTCTTCTGTGGGCTATACTTTCTGCACTGTTTTAAAGAAATCTCTCCCTGTCCCAAAGCTCTAAAGATATGTTCAATATTTCACTCTCAAATTGTCAGTTTTGCCTTTTACCTGCATATGACTAACACAGCTGGAATTCCCTGTCTGCAGGGCGGGCGAGAAGTGGCTGCGCAGGATGGGAAACGGGTCCGGCTTCGCTTTCCCGGCACAGGTGCCCATGGGCCGCTCGCCTGCCCGCATCAGCACCTGGCGCACAGCAGGTGCCACAGGTGTGGCCGCCCTGGCCCTGCCCCCCACAGGAGTCTGGGGACGGCTGGGTTACAGCACTCACCTTCTCTTCAGAATAATTTCAGCTGTTCCTGGCCCTTTCTTTTCTATAGTAATTTTAGTCTTAGCTTGTTGAGTGTTAGGAAAAACACCATGAAGATTTTGGTTAAAATTATATGTTATTTTGGGAAAATCTGACAGTATTTTAAGCAGCTACAGACCACCTGTTGCTGCGGGCTCAGGGCTCGGGTTATTGGAAATCCACCCTGGCGGCCGTGCTAAGCCACAGCGCCCAGCACAGACAGCGAGGACAGCAACTGGGCTCCCCTGAGGGCCGGGAGGGCTCAGCGCCGTCACCAACGGGGGCGGACACCCACCCGCGGCCACCACGCGTGCTGAGGCCTCTCGAAGCACAAGACCCTGCAGGGCCCGCCTCACGGGTCACGACCACCGCGCCTACCACGCTCCACTGGGCGAACAGCCACGGGCGCCAAAGTCCAGGGAAGGGGACAGGACACCCCACAGGCAGGGGCCACGGCCACACTGTGGGACACACAGAGGACGGGCTCTCCTGCCCTGGCCTCCTAGGAAATGCCATCCTCCACAGTTGACTTCAACAACGCTCTATGTTTTTTTCCAGAACTGTCTTACACATCATTTCTTTTTCATTTGTATTGTATGTTTATAGAATAATAATAAAATAACATTATCTTTTATTGTACTTAGGAGGGTACTTCAGAAAGTTTGTGCAAAATGGCATTAAATGCTGGCGTGGTTGCGGAGAGAGAGGAACACTCCTACACTGCTGGTGGGACTGCAAACTAGTTCAACCTCTGTGGAAAGCAATATGGAGATACCTTAAAGCGATACAAGTGAATCTACCATTTGATCCAGCAATCCCATTGCTGGGCATCTACCCAAATGATCCAATGACACTCTACAAAAAAGACACCTGCACTCAAATGTTTATAGCAGCACAATTCATAATTGCAAGGCTGTGGAAACAGCCCAAGTGCCCATCAATCCAAGAATGGATTAATAAAATGTGGTATATGTATACCATGGAGTACTATTCAGCTCTAAGAAACAACGGTGATATAGCACATCTTATATTTTCCTGGTTAGAGCTGGAACCCATACTACTAAGTGAAGTATCCCAAGAATGGAAAAACAAGTACCACATATATTCTCCAGCAAACTGGTACTAACTGAGCAGCACCTAAGTGGACACATAGGTGCTACAGTAATAGGGTATTGGGCAGGTGGCAGGGGGGAGGGGGCGGGTATATACATACATAATGAGTGAGATGTGCACCATCTAGGGGATGGCAATGATGGAGACTCAGACTTTTGGGGGGAGGGGGGAAATGGGCATTTATTGAAACCTTAAAATCTGTACCCCCATAATATGCCGAAATAAAAAAAAATTTAAAAAAAATGGCATTAAAGTATAAAAATAAAAAACGTGAACTTTGTTTCTCAACACAAGCTCCATCGAGCTCGAGACCGTTGCGAGTGAGGACCCGGCCGCCTGGCCCGCCCCTGAGTGCCGAGGGCCCTGGGCTGGCAGCCAGGTCCCTGTGTGACATCCCCCACCCCCTGGAGAAAGGGCCTTGGAAGACATTTACTGTCGGGAGGCAAAAGGGGTCAGCGGGAGGCAGGTCAGGACGCAGGTGGACGCCCGCAGGTGTGTCGGCCCCAGAAAGCCAACACGCAGGTGCCCCGGGCGTCCCACACCAGGACCTTCCCTCTCCACGTGGCTTCTGCCCTCACGGGCGCGTCCCCGCGTGGCGGGCACTGCTGTGACGGTGCTGTGGCGTCAGGGTCACTCAGGGCCGCCGCGCTCCGTGTCCTGCCACGGCTCTCTGAGAGACGCTCCGGGACCTGCCCCCCCCTCGCGCTTAAAATCCACACTGGACGTTCCACGCTCATCCTCGCGACCGGGCACCGCGGCTCTGGCGCCAGCGGCGGGAGGTCTGCTCGGCTCCCGTTCTTCCGCCGGGACCGCGAGGGCTGAGCCGGCCAAGACGCTGGGGCTGGCCGCGGCTCCTGCCGTCCACGTCGGCGCTCTCCACTGGGGAACGAGGCGAGTTCATCTCCTTGCGGCGGACGTGGCGGTCTGCGCTGAGGGCTTCGTCCCCGGCGCCGTCTCGCCCTTCTTAAAGCGGTGATCCGTCTGCAGACTGCTGACCTCTTCGAGCGCCGTCCTCATAAACTCCCCGCAGAGCACCGGCGGCGTCCCCGTCTTCCGCCCCAGCTGCTCCTCGATGTGACGCCCGTTCTGGCCCAACCTGAGCAGCGTCGCGCGGCTCTGACGGGGGCTGCTCCCAACCGACGCCTCGTCATCCTCAGCGCCTCACGCCAGACCCTGTCCACGCACGTCGCTCCACGTTAGGACGAGTTCGTTCTCGTGCAAAGGAATTCTGGAATCCATGCCTCGTTTTTCACAACATGCCTTTCCCGTGAACTTTACCCCAAGCAGGCCTCGGGTTTCAGTCCTCACCACCAGGGAGGCCGTGAAGGCTCAGGCAGGAGTCCCATCCCCTGCAGAGGTGCCCCCCACATTCCTTTTACCTGAAACTCGAGCTTCGATTCACTCTGAGAACACACTGTGGAGAGCGCACACTCGGGCAGCCACACGTTACAGGGCCCGGCCGTCTGCTGCGTTTTCTAACTTGGGACCAGGAAGGAGCAGTGATGGGAGGAAACCCCAGCTCAGCCACTCCATGACGCACACATGCAACAGACCAATCCAAAGTCGCAGAGCTGGGCTCTGTCTGAGGAAAGACTTGTCTTCTCAACTTTCAGTTAAGATGGCAGCTACAGTGTTTCCCCGAAAATAAGACCTACCCATAAAATAAGCCCTAGCAGGATTTCGAAGCACTTGCCCAATAAAAGCCCCACCCCGAAAATAAGCCCTAGTGATGGGTGTGGCTACGCAGCACATCTGCACAACCCACGCATTTCGTTGCGGAGCGGTAAAGACGACGAGCAGCCCTTCTCATCTGCCCCCATGAGAGCTCTGTTGCTCCACGTGAGAGGTGGAGCCAATGGTTCTAAAGGAAATAGAGTCACGAGAAATTCAGGATGGAATTCGGGGTTTTGGAGAGTTAAGATGATGTTCCAGAAGACGACTTAACTATATTTGAATAAATGTAGACTGTTGTACCATACTTAAAAAAAATAACCCATTCCCTGAAAATAAGCCCTAGGTCTCTTCTTGAGGAAAAATAAATATAACACCCTATCTTATTTTTGGGGAAATATAAGACCCTGTCTTATTTTTAGGGAAACACGGCACAGTTCCCTGCTCTTTCAGGTGAGTGTGTCGTGGCAGAGAGGAGGGAGCTCCGTGCACTCTCCTGGTGGCCGGGCACAGCCCAGGCCAGGCTGACCCCTCTGGAGCAAGCACACCTCTAGGGCCAGGCCGCCTGCCACCACCAGGGGCCACGCACAAGCCCCCTTTGCACTGCCAAGAGGGAGTTCCAGGACACCCGGGGCTCGCCTGTGGCTGCCAGCCTCAGGTCAGGGTGGGGGGCCCAGGGACTGCTGGAGCTGTGCTGGGGTGGTCAGGGCAGAGTCCTGGCCCGACAGGGGTTGGAGCTCTGGGTTTCTCTCCTGCCTGAACACCTGCTCCCTTCATCCTCTTCCTGAGAGCATCCCGGCCACGGCGAGGGCAGCCTCCGGACAGGGTGGTGTGGGCCAGGACGCCCCAGGTCGTGCCCATAGTTGGCCCGCTGCAGGGGCAGAGTCTGAAGTGCCTGGTTACACCTGGGTCCTGGTCGGGGCCTGGGTCTGGCGCAGGCGTGGAGTTGGAACAGGCCTCGTCAGCTGCAGACCCGAAGGCTGCCTGACCTCTGGGGAGGCTGACATTTCCCGCCAGCCTCAGCCAGAGTCGCCGACAAGGGGAGCAGGCTTGGCAGGGTGGAGGCCAACACTCGGCTCCAGCCACGTGGCTGGGTCACCCTCGCCGGGTCCACGGCAGGAGGACCACCAAGCCTAGACGTGGCCCACATAGGGCTGGGCGGCAGAGAGGCAGGGCGCAGCTGGAGGTGCCGTGACTGTCTTCCGTCCTGGGCGAAGTGCCGCCACCAGTCCGCCGCAGGAACGTTTCCGTCTTCCCACAGGGTGTCTCGTGCTGTCCTGGGAGGACGTGGCAGTGAAGAGCGGCCTGAGTCCCCCGGCAGCAGGAGCAACGCCCCCCGCGTGCTCCTCGGATTCAGCCGGGGGGCGGTGGGGGCTGAGGGTGGGAGGGGCTGGTGAGAGGCGCTGGACACCCAGCCCTGGCAGCGCCAGGTCCGCCACACCGCAGCCTGCAGGGGACGCCGCCAGTGGGCAGCGGCTCCAGGCGCGTCAGCGTCAGTGTCTCTTCCCAGGAACTCCTGAGAAACGAGACGCGCTCGGAGTCAGGGCCTCGCGCCATTTCCTCCAGCGCACTGCAGGAACCAGCCGCAGCGACGACGCGTGTCTTCCCCCTCGGAGCCTCAGTCCACTTTCCCGGGGAAAGGCGGCCAGGCCTGGGGTTCTGTGAACTGCTAGAAACGTTCCTCCTCCTATTCACTGCCTGGTGGCTGAGCGTGGCACCACCAAGAAGCTTCCGGAAGTAAGGCCCAGGGAAGGTGGCAGGGACAGCAGAGCCTGCGGTGGACGGGGGCTCCTGGGGCAGATGGGGGCTCCGGGGCCTGAGCCGAAGGCAAAGCAGGGGAAGAAGGATCCTCCATGGCGGCAGCTCCGCACGGCCGGTGGGAACCCGGGTGAAGGGCCGGCCTACCACTGCCGGCGTCCACGCCCCTCCGCCAGGCAGGACGCAGCTGCAGGGTGCGCATATGGCGACAATGTGCATGGCCTCTTCCTCCCGAGTGACGGGACGTCACCCCCACAGACAGCTTAAGCTCCAAGCCAACCTCCCCACCACAGATGCTGCCGTGGAGGCCGGTCCTGCCTGTCGTCCACCACAGCAGGTGCACCCCTACCACGCCTGTGGCGTCAGGCACACGCTGACAGGGACCGCCCCTCCCGCACCCGGGCTGCTCCCCTGGACTGACAGCACAGCCGTCACCTGGCGGCGGCAGCCGCTGTCACTCCACGGCTTCACATCCCACCCAGGACCCAGGCACACGGCCACACGTCTGGGCCACGCCTTCTCTCTTTGGAAGAGAGAAGGAGAGTCTGGAAGGCTGACGAGTCTGGAAGGCTGACGAGTCCGGAAGGCTGACGAGTCCGGAAGGCGGACTCCCGCCGGCACCCCTCTCCCCTCCGGAAACAGAGCCAGGACTTACTTGACAAACTTGTCCACGTGGGACATGGAGGCCTCGTAGTTCTTCCCTCCAAACTCCTGGCAGTGCAAGGCCATGAAGTGCGGCTTGTGCGTGTGCACCACCTGCAGGAGAGGAGGACACCGTCAGCACCGCGGCCACACGCCTTGCCACCCGCCACACGCCCCCGACGCCCACGGGGGCGTGTTCAGGCAGCGAACACACGACCCCTACCACAGGCTGTGCTTTTTAAAGGCAGAGGATTCTGACGGAAAACCTGGCAAGCCCCCCGAGGAGAAAGCCGACGTCCGACACCGTGAGCTGGGCAGGCAGGCCTCTCCCGCGGCTGAAAACTAAGTCATGGAAACGACAAGACCTTCACCGTGAAAAGTTCCAAAAGAAACGTACTGAACGACTGTGGAAACGCCCACGGCACGACTGGTAGGGGCCGGCAGGGGCCGGCGCTGCTGTGTCGTGACGACCACAGATCAGGCAGCGCCACGCGCAAGTTTCAGCTGCACAGACGCCACACAAACTTTCCTTAAACAGGCGGGAGGTAAATCCTAGCCAAACGATGATGAAAGAGCACCTGCCTGCAGGTGCCTCACGGGGCAAAGCGCAGTGGATGATCCCAGGAATTCGGAGGGTGAGGGAGGGATCCTGGGCATATCTGCCGGGCAGCCGGAGTGGTCACTGTGTATGGAAACGGTGCCTTTAACTGACTACACACTCCACCTCGGACAAGCTACCATGTCTGGAACCGACGGAAAGAACACAGCTGACACTCACCAGAACACGACACTGAACACACCCACAGGTCGGTCGTCTTCCACTTCCAGGTAACTGGTAAATACAGAGAATGAAGCAGGAACAGACCCTGCCTCTCTGAGACGATCCCATCCCTGGAGAGCACGTTCTCTGCGGGAACACCCTCACGGCGACTGCCAGGGGCGGCATGCGGCAGGTGGATGCTCCGAGAGGGATCCCCAGGACTCAGCAGAGTGAGGACTCGAGCATCCCACCGATCCGAGGAGGAGAATGGGAGAACGACCAGGCCACCATCCTGCACCCTCCCAACCAGTGCATCTGGGCACGGCCATCGCCACTGCTCACACACAGCACGCCGACAGTTGAGGAGAGAACGTACCTCCCCCCCGACACACACCCCTCCAGACACGCACACCTTGGCACGGCCATCACCACTGCTCACACACAGCACACCCACAGTTGACGAGAGAACCTCCCTCCCCCCCGACACACACCCTCCAGACACGCACACCTGGGCACGGCCATCACCACTGCTCACACACAGCACGCCCACAGTTGACGAGAGAACCTCCCTCCCCCCCGACACACACCCCTCCAGACACGCACACCTTGGCACGGCCATCACCACTGCTCACACACAGCACGCCCACAGTTGACGAGAGAACGTCCCTCCCACCACACACACCCTCCAGACACGCACACCTGGGCACGGCCATCACCACTGCTCACACACAGCACGCCGACAGTTGAGGAGAGAACGTCCCTCCCCCGCCAACACACCCTCCAAGACACGCACACCTGGACGCACATCACCACTGCTCACACACAGACACGCCCACAGTTGACGAGGAACCGTCCCCCCCCGACACACACCCTCCAGACAAGCACACCTGGGCAAAGCGGATCACCACTGCTCACACACAGCACGCCCACAGTTGACGAAGAACGTCCCCCGACACACACCCTCAACGCACACCTGGCACGGCCATGCCACTGCTCACACTACAGCACGCCACAGTTGACGAGAGAACATCCCTCCCCCGACACACACCCTCCAGACACGCACACCTGGGCACAGCCATCACACTGCTCACACACAGGCACGCCGACACGGTTGACGAGAGAACATCCCTCCCCCGACACACACACCCTCCAGACACGCACACCTGGCGACTGGCCCATCACCACTGCTCACAGCACAGCACGCCGACAGTTGACGAGAGGCGGAGAACGTCCCCCCCCCCAGGAGAGCGACGACCGCTGCGAACACGGCGAGCAGGTGGCGGAGCGGCCGATCCACCGACTGCTGCACAGGCACAAGCACGGGCGACACGTTGACAGAGAACGTCGGGCCGCCCCCACACCACACGCCGCCAGACACGCAGCGACCTCAGCGCCGAGTCGACCACGGTGTCACAACACAGCACACCGGCGGCAGGTTGACGAGGAGAACGTGCCCCCCCCCACACGACACCCTCCAGACACGCACACCTGGGCACGGCCATCACCACTGCTTCACCAGCACACACCACAGTTGACGAGAGAACGTCCCCCCCGACACACACACCTCCAGACACGCACCACCTGGGCACGGCCATCACCACCTGCTCACACACAGAACCCCACAGTTGACGAGAGAACGTCCCCCCCCCCCAACACACACCCTCCAGACACCACACCTGGGCACGGCCTCACCACTGCTTCACACACAGCACGCCGACAGTTGACGAGAGAAGCGGCCCCCCCCGACACACACACCCTCCAGACACGCACACCTGGGCACGGCATCACCACTGCTCACCAACAGCACACCCAGAGTTGACGAGAGAACGTCCCTCCCCCGACACACACACCCTCCAGACACGCACACCTGGGCACGGACATCACCACTGCTCAAACACAGCACGCCCACAGTTGACGAGAGAACGTCCCTCCCACCACACACACCCTCCAGACACACACACCTGGGCACGGCCATCACCACTGCTCACACACAGCACACCCACAGTTGACGAGAGAACGTCCCTCCCCACACACACACCCTCCAGACACGCACACCTGGGCACGGCCATCACCACTGCTCACACACAGCACGCCCACAGTTGACGAGAGAACGTCCTTCCCCCGACACACACACCCTCCAGACACGCACACCTGGGCACGGCCATCACCACTGCTCACACACAGCACACCGACAGTTGACGAGAGAACCTCCCCTGGACGGTAGCCTGCGACGCCTGGTGGCATGCCAGGACAGAGCTGCCCAACTCTGATGCAAGAGACAGAGAAGTGTGCAGCCCGAGGACGGGCCAGGGACGGGACTGGGAAACAGTAAGAGAAAACGAGAAGGGGGGAAGTGGCGGAAAGAGGAAGGTGCGCAGGGACGTGTCAACCACAAGGGACATGCAAAACCCATCCACAGTGCGTACGTCTCGGGGACCACACACGCCTTCCCGCTGGGGACAACCGCAAGCTGCAGGCAAACGCACCAGCTGAGGGCCCTGAGACCGTGGCGGGGTCGAAACCTGGGGCAGTGACCCACGCAGGTGAGCTGCCTGTGCTTTTCCCTCTGACGCCTCTGCCCCAGGTGGGGCCACACAGGAGCAGCACAGTGTGGACACACAAACCATAGAAGAAAGCCACACTGTTGTGGCCGGGGGACAGAAAGGCGCCCGGCAGGCTGCACCGCACAGGCAGCATGGAGGGCAGAGAGCCGGGGAAGGGACCCACGCGAGTCGCACACACCGGGCCCAGAGCCACACGGCCGGGCGAAGGCTCCGGGACTGATGCAAGCCCCCACCACCCACGTGGCGGGCGGCCACTGGTCAGGACCACGCTGGGTCCTTGGCAGGCAGGAGGCCACACAGCATAACACTCCCATGACGAGGATGCGGCCCGATCACTCAGAACCTGGAAAACGTGACCCATCTTAACAGAAACGACAATGAAGAGACGCCAATACCAAACTGACACGGATGCTGGACACGTAGGAGAAAGATTTTAAAGCAGCAACTGTAACTACGTAAAAGTAAATACTCTTGAAATAAATGAAACAGCAGAAAATCTCAACAGAGAAACAGAAACTATAAAAGAACCAAATGGGAATTTTAAAAACTAAAAAAAATTAAAAATAAAAAAATTACAGTATCTGAAAATAAATGATTCGAAGGACTCAATGGTAGAATGAGTATGACACAAAAAATCGAAACTTGAAGACAGATCAATAGAAATTAATGATACTAAGAACAGAAACAAGAGAGGTTTATTAGCAAAAGCAAACCGAGCTGCAGGACCTGTGGGAAAATGTCAGAAGGTCTAAGGTTTTAGGCATATTACATGCAGAACTGGACTAACAGGAGAGGAAAAAGAGATTGTGGGAGTAGGAAAAATGTGAAAACACAACAGCCAAAATTTTCCCTAATTTGGTGAAAGACATAAATGTACACATTCTAGAACTTTAGTGAATGCCTAACAAGATAAATTCGAAGAAAAGCTAGACAGATCATAATCATACTGATGAAAATCAAAGACATAGAAAAAAATTTTGAATTCCACTCGAGAAGAGTCACACAATACATGTAAGAGTAAGACAATTCAAATTACCATGAATTTCCTGTCAGAAAACCTGGAGGCCAAGACATAGTAGAACAACGTTTTTAAAAAGTACTGAGAGAAGGGAAAAAAGTCAACCCAGAAGTCAGTATCTACTGAAAATACCCTTCAGGAATGAAGGCAAAATAACAGTATTTCTGCAAGAGAGAAAACAAAGGGAACGCTTCACCCCAGCCCTGCCGCAGCCGACGCCCCCCAGGCTGCAGAGGAACATGGCGGGGCAGCCTGGCTCTTCAAGAATGCAGGAAAAGCAGCAAAAATGGCAAGTATCTGGGTAAATATAAAAGGTTATTTTTTATTTCTTAGGGTTTTAAAAATATGTAATATGAGTCTCCAGGACAAGTGAACACAACTTACTCCCAAAAATTTGCTCCCCAATTTTTTTACTTTAACATTTTTTTAATTTTTTTGTAGAGTCAGGGTCTCACTACGTTACCCAGGCTGGTCTCGAACTCCTGACCTCAAGCGATTCTCCCACCTCGGCCTCCTAGAGTGCTGGGATTATGGGCGTGAGCCACCTCACCCGGCCTCCCCAAATTTTATATATACACATTTATGTATATATAAAATGCAGATACATAGATATATATAGAGAGATAGATATAATATGTAACGTACCTATTAATAATTGCATTATCCACAGAGAGAGGACACCCCAGACCTCAGCCTCAGCACAGCTTAGGAGAACTGGAAGCTACGACATGACGTGCGGGCAAGTGAACCAGCCCGGGTGGAGGTCAGGCTC